AGGTAGTTAAATAATGTCACATTGTTCTCTCTTCGTAAAATAATTGAGAACATAACCAATTTGCTTTGTTATGCTTACATTCTCTCCTGTGGAAAATTTTTTTTTTTTTCTTCCTTCAGTTCTCAAACTATTTGAGAGCTGAAGGAATACAGTCCTGTGTGTGTTTATTCAAAATATGAATAACTTACGTGAAGCGCCAGGATCAGACACACTATGTCTGATCCAACCATTTATGCACATTTATGTACAATGTGAATTTCTTTTGCATTATGAGTATAAAAGATATTGCAGAACACGATAAGTATATGACATGGGTAAGATGCTTATCTGAGGAACCTTGTGGTAGTTGGTGTTTCATGTTTCAGCAGACCCAAAAAAAGAAGTACGAAGGCGGCTGTTGGAGCACGTATTATGGCACCGCTCATACATTTGTTAAAGCAACAGTACAATCTGTGCAAACATTTTGTTTGGGGTGAAAATTGTGCCTCCACAGCCTCTAATTATAACACGCTATTCAGTGTTTCGAAATCTGTTGGCAGCAAGGATACAATCACTTCATTAATCATAATTACATAATTGAACTGTTCACACTTTTTTTTTTTTTACATTTATTTTAATCCTAATTAGTGGATGTATATACTTTTTTTCTTATTTCTCTTCACTTAAGCGTTTGACCTGCTGAGTGAAGATTCAACACCATGCTTTCAGTTTTCAGTCAAAGATAAAGGCGCAAAATATTTTGTGGTGTCACATCTGATTTGTGCAAAATTATGATGATTCAATAAAACTGACTATGTTTTCTGAAAAAGTATTAAAGTAATTCTTACTTCTATCTAAATAGAAATAAGAATAATTTCTTATTAAGAATGCCGTTTAAAGTCATTCACAAAGACATAATGATATTGTTTATATTTTCATTGGTGATATCTATGCATTGCATTTGGTGACACGATCACTGGCAGCGTGTGATCGTGAGATAATCGTGGTACAGGTGCATTCACGAAGATGTGAAAAGGCTGCCATCTAGTGGCGGCCATTAGTCCTTACAGGCACCGAGTGCGCTCTCACTTCACATTTTCCCTGATCTATGATTTAAAGGTATAATAAAAAGAATGTCTTGTACTATTTGACATTTTTACGAATAGTCAGAGGCAAAATCTCTCATTTCTGGGGAAACAGAGTCTTACAGCGGATAACTCTGATATCCTGTTTCCCAAGTTTTTACAGTAAAGTAAACAAAAAAATGTTTAAGAAGTGAGCATAAAACTAATAACCCTCTCCACCCCTCGTGTATTTCTTGTTAATCTTCAATTATTTAATCTAGTCTATCCCCCCCCTGTCATAATTCCTTGGATTCTGTAAACAGTCTGGTGTGCACAACAGAAGAGGTTTTTTGCTGATCTGACAAACAGGCTGACCTTTCTGTTTGATAAACAGAAGTTGACCTTTTCATTGAGCTAACGTCTCTTGCCATTTTTTTTTTTCTTTTTGCAGAAACTCCAATTTTAACATTTGGCTGCAAACTGGAAATCAGATGAAAAACCCATTTTTGACTTAAACAATATTCATAGCACGCCAACTACACCATCTGGATACTGTCACGTTGGTGCAATGCAAACAAAAAACAGGAAAAATGTTTAGATGATGTTTGGAGCCTTTCAGCTTCAAAGCTGAAGTAAACATCTAATCAGATTACTGCATCAATGGCTTTTCCTGCCCATGCAGAGCAGCAAACAGTGCAGCATATTTTATAAAGAAATTATCCACAAAGCAGAACATTTTTTTAGTTACTTCTTGTGAAAAAAAACACCCTTGGGTTACCTCAGAACATGTCTATTATTTGCTGACATTAGACAGTGCAATACAGAATAATCCTAAAAGCTAGTTTCTAATTTACCAGTACTGCACTTTTTTTTTTTTTTTTTTTGCCATTCCTTAAGTGGCGAACAAGATACCAACATAGAGCTCAGTGCGCCGTAGAAAAGCTGAATTACACGTCTACTTGTTAATCAAACTGGGGCAGTGATTTGATTAGCAATTTAATTTGCTCCACAGAGATCTAATTATGGTGAATATCAGAAGGTGAACAGCTTACATCTCACACAAAACATTAATCTTGGATTAATTATCCTTTTAGAAGAAAATGCTGGCAGAGATGTAAACACACCCGACACCCATTTAGTTTTTCTGTCTGGCGGGATGACTTTTAGATCACCACTGATTCAGTAAGACAACAGATCAATAGGATGCCAGGGATTCAAGCTTAAATTAATCCACCGTGTGTGTGTGTGTGTTAAATGTGAATAACTGACAACTTTATGAATAAATGAAACAGAGTTTGGATTGGGAAGATCTCTATGTGACAGACAAATGGGGGGTGGGAGGGACAGGATAAAGTAGATGGTTTGGAGCACCTTTGAAGCTACAGTAAAAGTGAAAAATCTACCTTCAAGAGGATAAGACCTAAACTCTGCCAGTAGATGTACCTAAATTTTCTTTCCATCTAATTTGCTTGAGCAAAACAAACTTGTAGTGGTTGGACTAGGACACCAAAACCTGCTTTGACCAAAAGACCCACAACCCTTTAAATACAACCCTGCAATTTTTATATACCAATTTTCTCACAGAGTTCAAGCATTTTTTTTAACAGTATGACAAGCAAACATATTGAAGTCTGATTCAGAAATGCAATAAAAGGTTTCAAGATTCTTAAAGCCTTGGCTTTTAATAAATAGCACATCACAGCTAAACATAGGGCAAATATGAATAGAGTAGGAGAAGTTAAATGTAAAGAATTTAGAGAAAATAGATCAGAAAAACAGAACTAGGACTTCACATGCAGGCTATACGACAGGAGTTTGGGGAAAGTACGAAGCCTAAACAGTGAATTAGAGGAATGGCCCATTTAAATAAGGCAGGAGCAGAGGTCCAGTTCAGCACATTTCTCCTAAAAACCAGCAATTTAAATAATGGTATACAGTCTTTCAGATACCTTTCACTTGGACAGGTTTAGTAGCTGGAGGGAAGAAAATAAATTAAGCCTAAGCAAATACTGCCAACAGAAGTTAAAGGTAGTTCACCATTAATCTCTATGCAAAGTTATCTGTCGCATGCAAACATCTGTGGTTGAGCTGCTGCTTGACCGATTCAGTAAGGTGTGTTGGAGAAATCATAGCACTTGGTGAGATTGGTAACAATTGAATACAAATGCATTATTTTCAGCTTTTTATTCATAAAACATTTTTAAAAACCATGCATCATTTTTTTTCCATAGCAGAATTAAGCATTACATTAAGTTGCCTTTGTTTGTGGCAGGATTTTCAAAGGCCATATTTCCTTTTTATACCACAAATTCAGACAGCAAGAGAGCACCAAACTTGTGGCCAGAGATAGAAGTCCTTATTTTTTGACTAGACATTAAAAAAAAAAAAAAAGTTTTAATGATCCTCATGGTTTCTACGGTTAATGGAGTTTAAATACCGTTTTAAATTAAAGCCTCCTTTTCTGTATTTTTCTCCCATTTTTCTTTTAGCAATTTGAAAGTCAACCCGGTTTTTACCATCCTTGCAGCATGGATTGCAAACTTATAGCTCCCCCCCCCCCCAATTTATCGTTTTTTGCAATTATATTTTGCAGGTGAGGGAGCAGCACATGCATGTGTTCAAATTATTTCCGCTGCCAAAAACAAAAGTAGACTAGTACAGTTGACAATGAAATCCATGTGCAAAGTGTTTAAAGAAAAAAATTGTTTGCAACAGGATGAAAAAAATATATCAAAGTAGCACACTGAACTCATCTCTTGTACATAAACACATTTTTATTCAGCCTGATAGAGGTTACACATGAAAAAAAAAATTCTAAGAGAACTACTTCCCTTTGTGAAGCTAATGATATGACTGTTTTAATCAGCTTCAGATCCCCATTTGACAGCTTTCAACATTAGCTGCCGTAGGCTGCGAGGAAAAAGCATAATCACATGCTACAACTGACCTGAGGCGTGTTTTTAAATCTTTCTTCAAAAAAAAACAAAATACAAAACATATCCCCCCCCATCATCAGTTATGATTAAACACTAGGTGATAAGGAATGTTATTTTGGAAATGCAGATCAAAAGAAAACTTTTCCTCAGCAGCAGAAAAGACAAGAAATGGAATACTTAAAAAACTAAAACAAAGAAAACCGACCCCCAGAACTTTGTTCCCAGGTTGCTACTGTATATGAGGCAATACCGAGAAAAAACAAAAAAAAACACTCACTCCAAAGTAGCTTTAACACCAAGAATAACTCAAAACTCGCTGCTGCGATTCAGTCTCACAACCCTCAGACAAAGAAATGCAAACAGAAACTACATCTGTGGTAATCAAGATTACAGAAGGTACATTAAGATTTACAGTGCCTGCAGATGAGCTTTGGAGCCTAATATTAGGACCGAGTCAAAGACACAAAGCAAAGACTTGTGAGGAAAAAGGGGAGGATCTTAACATTTAACTAGTGTTAGTCCTTAACTTGCAAATTTCACAAAGTGCAAATTTTCTCTTACATTACATAATGACCAATTTTAGAAATTGCTCATTTTCTACTGTAGAAGAATGAAAAATGGTTAATTCCACAAACTACCAATAGAGCTGTAACCAGCCACCCCTCCCCGCTTACTCACCCGTTATCCAATGTAAAAGTACAAAAAAACGAGAAAAAAAAAAAAAAAAAAAAAAAAAGAATTACTAAATACATGCTGTTATGACGCTCATCAATATGCTTGTAACTTGATCAAAGCCTCCATTTTGGCTCTTTGAATCTCTTACAGTAAACAGTTACTGTCAGCGTGCGTTTATAGTTAAAATATATATTAATCTATCATTAAATAGTATGCCTCTTGCACAGTCTTGCATGCACTGAAGAGCTTTTTGGACAAGCTGTACAAGAGGGGAAGGCGTGTGGACGGACGTGCTCAGGCTGCAGGCTCCGGTCCGGGATCTTTCTCTACCTGGAGTACGTTTTTCTTTTTTGTTTTGCCCAACATTCCTTGCAGCCAAGTCAGTCCAAAAGATGATTCTCCAGTGTTTTTTTTTGTTGATTTAGCTTCCGTTTGTGTGAGTGTATGAGAATGTCTGTCTGTGTGTGTGTTTGTGCGAAGTGTGGGCCTAAACTGAGGTTTCACAAAGTGCTCTGCAGATCACTGAAGTTTTGTTCCAAGCTTTCGTTGTCTGTTTCTGAAAGAGCAAAAATGAATATAGTTCATGTTTTTATAAGTTTCCAGGTAAACGAGGCAGACACATTTTAAATTGCCTGTTTGAAATGTGACATCCGCTCAGACTGAACCTTACCTTGCCTCTGATCTGGTCACTGTATACTCAAACCATAAGATGTTGGGAATCAAGCTTGTGTCTCGCACCAGGAAGTACTCTGATATTGGCCTGTTGGATGTAACAAAGTCAAAGGACATTATATTAAATGATCGCCAAATGATTCAACTCCTCTTGAAGCCGATTAGTTGATCAAAAATGACAGGAGAATTAAATAGTCACTTACCATGCTGCAATTTTGGGGAATAAAGGTGTCAGCACCTCTTGTGTGAAAAAGAACCAGATAATCGCCATTGTGCTGCCAGTCACTGCCCCATAGAAAACCTGACTCCAGGTGTGATACAACAAGTAGACCCTGGAAATGACAGGAGAAGGGGGTTTCATAAGAAAAAACAATCCTGCAACATTATTAGTATTATTGGAAAAGAGGCAATGTTACCAGACAGGGATACATTTTAAACCATTTCTCATAGTCATCATTGATAGGACATTTACAAGCATGCTGTGCAAATTTTGCAGGAATAATCAAATACATTTTATATTGTGTAAAAATACTCCAAATTTGAAATGAAATAATGCATTTATATAGTTTGCAGCCTTCGAATATGGAACAAGGGGAACAGAAAGGAAGTAGGACACCAAGAATGGGAATGGATCCAAGGAATATTTAGACTTTTCTTTTCCTACTCGGTCCAGACCTGAAATCATAGTCCACACATTTCTTTACGATGCAATATCAATGATACAACCATCATCAACATTTAAAAAGAAATCCTCACTATGCTAAACAGGGAGGCAATCTTTAGCAACATACGCACTTCCTCAACATAACGGGACTTTCACAAAATGAGATTCATTTCTATGCAAATAAACCTAGACAAAAAAATAAAATGAAACAAAAAGCTATTCCTGTAAGGAAAGCAGTTTGGTGAAAGGGACAAATTTTCTGTATAGTAAAAACAACGAACAGAAAAAGTTTGTTTTATATACATGTATATATATAAAACATGAATAATTCAAATTATTTATCTCCAATTAATAAACCTGATACAAATATGAATAAAGTGCAAATGGAATATTTTTCAGAAATAACCCGTTCTGTCTTTAAAAGAAATGGTTATGCATCTAAAAATATTTCTGGAACTAACAGGGGATATGAAGAACGAAACAAGTGATCACATTTAGTTTTCTGGCATATATTTACTGTGCAAGGCTGCATGGTCAGTAATTTTTGGGCTGCACATGAACATCTGCCGAGTTCGTCCTTGGGGAAATGATGAAATCTATGTCACACTGACCCATGCCGGCCTCAGCAGATGTGAAAGCCAAATAATTTGTATCTTGTTTCCTATTTATAACCCCATCGGAAGATTTGCTCTCAACTCAATAAACAGCGACTTTAGAGGGACATTCGATAAACAAACGCTTCATATCTTTAAGAAAAAATACTCAATGTCACAATAAAACACTATGTTAATAATTACAACAATAACTTGTAACATGTTATTCCTTTTTCACATTAAACTCACAATTTAGGACATCCTAGAGATTTGGAGGAAGAAGACGCTTACCTGCTGTAAGAGACGGACGACGCCATGCCCAGCAGGACGATGGACAGGACGTGCCTCCACAGCAGGTCCACACATCGAGCATTGTTTGTCTGGTGCATTCTGAAAATGATCAGTTCACACCATGATATCCTTCCTCATGTTAAAGTAAATCAGTGATTACAAAAATGTTGTCTGTACTTAAAATAATGACACATACCCTCTAAAAAAAAAAAAAATAAAATCAAAAAAAGTTAAGCAAAACAAATGTGCGAAGATGAGTAATTGCGTATCATACAATGTTGGTGAACACTGGATTTTAACTTTACTGGGTTGACAACTGATTTCAGCAGGTTAACCCTAAATTACAAAGCTCAGCCATGTGACCTTTCACCCCAGCCCAAAATGCAGAGACAAACAAACTTACCTTAAATAAAGAAAAAGAAAGAAGTAAACAACGAAGAACCAGATAAGCTGGGAATGATTCGAGGGCATGCCGTACTCGGCATAAACGGTTGTATGAGATCCTAAAGAAAGAAAATAAAGCAAGAAAAATAATGCAATATTTAAAGTTTCTGCAACCATTGAGGTTCTTAAACATATAATACAAAAAGAGTTTTTAACTAGATGCTATGTATTGCAGATTTATGCAAGATCCCAGAACAAAACAGCTTTAGAAATTTGCATTTCTTTGTAATGGTGGTAACGATTAAATATAATGTATAGAGTAGCAAATTGAACTTTTGGTGAATTCAGCCCCTCACAAAAAATGCTTATCAGTATCACCATGACATTTAAAATCTTTCAAAGCAGGAATGTTTTAAGACTCAGTGGTTTGTTAAAGAACAACAACAAAAACCAGTAGCATGGTGGCAGCGCGGTTAAGATTAGAGCAGATGGGAAGATTGATGGAACTAAATACAGGACAATCCTGTAAGACAACCTTTTAAGAGACTGGAAAGTGGAGCAAAAGTTCACCTTTTAGAGAGAATGACTGTAAACACACAGCCAGAGTCACAATTAAATGATTTATATTAAACCATGCCGATGAGGTATCGTTTAATATACCTCAGTTAAAGTCCTAACCAAATACCGACTGACAATATCAAAGAAAATAGATTTTTACAAAATATTGAACAAAAACATACCACTTTTCAGTTATTTTATTTACAAGAAATTTCAAAAATTACATTTTCCTTTCACTTCATGTATGCACCATTTTAAGCTCTTTCACCATTGTTTGTAGTTGACAAAATGCGAGAAAACCCCCCGAATATGAATACTTTCCTAAGGCACTGTACAAGAATCATATCCTTTTATCACAATAAAAAAAAAAAAAGAAAACGAAAACCTGACTACTGCTAGGGGTTATAATACTTAAATGTCATCAGAACAAAATCATCTCATCACATACATCACCCATATCTAACATGATATTTTTGTTAAGTCCTGGCAAAGAAAAAAGAAAAACTTGTTCCCTCACTTACCTGCACAAGGGCGCGGCTCTCTGAGAATGTGCTTGAGCACCCAGTTCACTCCTTCATTTAGAAGGACTCCAGTGAAGAAGGAAATCTGTAAAAAGGAGGAAGAACGCAGTCAGCATATGAGGGCTCTCACGTACTTCTGCCCTGCTTCTTTACACATCTGTTCAGGCACCTGAGAGACCCATTACCACCTTCACAGCAAATATGAACACTACTTACCGTGTGCAGTTCCCGTTTAAACACTATGAGAGTGACAAAGCCCACAAGAATAGCTACGGGTAGGAGACTGATGTAGGCCAGCAGTTTTCCCGTGAGATCCCCTGAAACAGAATTAATAAGAACTGATTTTCAGGACAAAAATATCTAATAATTAAACATTCGTAAGGTCCAGAACTACCTGAAACTGAATAGAGAACAGAGAGACCAGGTAAGACGCGCATTAAGTTTTTATTAAAGAAATTCAGGGAAATATTTAATTTTAATTCAGGTGAATTGTAGCTGTTAAGACCTTTTAACACAAGGCCATGGAGCTTTATACGTTAGCAGCAGTCCTGGTAATAATGCTATGCGTGGAAATGGCTAAAAGCTCCCAGCATAGCTATAACTTGTATGCTGAAATAAGAGATATTGCAGTGCTGTCAAACATATATTACAGAGCACTGCAAATACATTTTAATTTACGAAGGGGATAGCAAAGCTCGTGTTAGGAGAGCTAGCAGCAAGCTAGCCGTCATTGTGAACATTGTTACAAAGTGCGCATGCGGAGATGTCTCACAATTTCGCAGCCCCCGGTGTGCCGGGTGTTGACCAAAGGCTCACAATTTGGCAGCTACTGAAGGCTGTGTCCATTCACTAGCAAACAAACCCGCTCACGCTGCTTGGAAATTTTCAAAAGCGACGAACGTAGTCGATACACAAACACTCCGAGTTTTACGTACCCTCGGGAAACTCTACGTGTGTCACTGATATGGCCTGCCATCGAGGTGGTGCCGAGCACTGCTCTTCCAACGCCATCTTACCCGGACACAACCGGGGCAGTTTACAGCCCCGCCCCAAAAACGAATGCACCCAATGAGGGGACGACTTTTATGTTCAAACGGAACCCGGCAGCAAAGGATCTGTCCAATCACCGCCACAATCTGGTCAGGAGGGATTCTGTCCATAGAGGAGAATTATTGAATGGAAAAAAATGTGATGAAAAAAAAAATCACTTGGAAACTTAGTTCCCTCATTCAAAAACTAAAATAAGAACAGAAAAAAAAGTATTTGGCATTATACGACATATAATTTTAAAAAAAGTTATGTAAAATAGCTACTGATATAAAGAAACTCATTACCTTGCCCCTTAAATATTCTTGCAAAAAACAGAATAACTATTCAAAGAATAAAAACTTAGGTGTGCATCTAATATATTTAAACTTGAAAATTATTATACATCACCTGGAAGTGAAATAACACGTGAACGTCAAACTGAGTCTTTTTTATCTCATTAAAATGTTTTCCAGTGACATTGAATGATAAAGTTTGTCTTATTTGAGACTCCAGCATAAAATTTTTTTTTATAAATCATAACATTATGACATAAATACATGGCTGGATAAAAAAATAAACAGAAAGAGATAAATTTGCACACATACAGAACAACTGAGCTTCTTATGCAAAAATACATTCAGAAACAATGCAGCATAAAAATTACAACACTGCAAAAATATCCATCTGTCTTTATAATTAATATTTTGTGGAATATTTTATTATAATATTAATATATTATGGAATATATACTTGTATTTAGACTTTACTGGGTTCACAGAAATCCAGTAAAAAGACACTGTTGTTCAGCTAAGTATATTTAGTTTTAGGATGTCCAGTGGCCTGGCATTTAAGAATTTAAGATTTACCTTAGAAAAAAATAGCATCCATGTAAACATCCAACTTTGGATTAAAGTGTGTACAATGGATATTGATTGCCATCCAAACTTATTGAAACATAAATTTACAATAAACTCATTTGTATTTGTTGCACTTTTTAAAAATGTAAACAACTTTAATGTGAAATTTAACAAGGTATCAAAAGGAAACCCAATTAACACCAATTTAATAACAAAAAATAAGATTTAATACGGAGGATGTAAATCAGTTTACAGACAGTGCAATACAACAATAGAAAAGACAAAAGGCATGAGTAGGACACCTGTAATGTAGCATACATTAGTCAGGGGAGGGGGAATAATAAACATTTTGGCCTTCTGAAACCCTCTTTAAAGTCTAAAATAACCTAAATATTACAGCCCATGCTTAAATTGTAGTAATTCATACTTTTTTTTTTTTTAGATTTGATCTAATTAGAACTTAAAATATCCAACAAATCAGGTTGAGCTTGGATCTAGTACATGTTCAGTGCTACGCTGATGCATTTTAAAGAACTTACAATGCTAACATGCAAAGGCAGTTCATTTATCCAGAAAAGATGAAGGGGGAAAAAAACTCTCCGTGATGCATACACAGGTTATACATATTAAAGCATTTCATTTCAGATCATATCGCACAAAGAAAAACTAAAATAATTTAAAGATGGGCACTTCAACAAAACCTTGTGATTGTACAAACTTTTTTTCATAATATAGTATTTTTCTTTTAAGATAACTTTGCTAGACTGTACAGCAGCTATGAGCTCCATTTTATACATAGAAGTCATGTGTTGCAATAAATAATCTGACAATTTGTACATGGGAACTCTCATGCGGACGTTTACAAGAAGAAATATTTTCTGCCTCATCTTCCTGCTAAAGTGCAAATCGGTTAAAAACGCAAAGCTGCAAACCAAACCATTTACTGCAGGAACGCCTTGCACATTTGCAGCTCTGCTTCAAGTCAGACCGCTGTCCAATAAAAGCAACAGTACAGACGATGCGAGGTCAGAACAGTTCAGGAGGATGAGCAGCGTTTCTCGGCTATGAATTTATTAAGTGCATTAGAACAACTGCAGAGTTTGGATCATCGTTGCCACAAAACAGAAGTAAAATAACGTCAAAGAGCTGTTGATCTGACGAATTACTGGAATAAAACTGGAAAGAGATGGAAACTTAACCGCTGCTCTTCCAGTGATTCAAATAAATATAGATACTTGATTCATTTAATGAAGTCAGTTTAATATCTGAACTACAATGTGCCTCCATCTTTACAGTAGTACCACTAGTAGTGAAGGATTACACAAAAAAAGGTCAATTTAGTTAGGCAGTTTGTTGCCCCAATGTGGGTTTCTGTGACCCAGAAAACTTCAGGGCTTCCATCAGTGCACTTAGGTAAGCTTCACTTTCTAGCCTTCATGACACCAGAATCACTCGTACGCCTACCACTTGGCACCGTCTCAGTTTAATGTATGCGTTGCAGTGATTTGAGGGTGTGTTTTCAGTAAGTATTTTTTCCCAGAGGGTTTGAATTTGTCAGATGTACTTGACTAAACAAGTTAAGAGGGATGGTATAATTCCAGAAAAAAAACAAAACAAAAAAAAACATAAGGGAGTCAGCTTATGCAATAGCTGGGAGTCTAACCTAAACGACTCAAGTCAATCCACAAACAATGCATTTGGAAAATAAGTTACTGGTTTACGTGACTGTACTTGAAGAGAAGAGAGATTATTTTTCCGTACCGTCATCAATAACGTAGCTCACAAAGAGACAAACACATCCAAGAAAATAACTAACTTTGAATTTGTGTTTATGTGGGGGCGATGAGATTACAAGAAGCAGAAGAACTGAAACATTCCACGTTGCATTGAGGGTTAACTTTGCAGGTTTGAGTCCAAGTTTGACTCCTGCGATCTGAGAGAAATGGCTGATACTACCATGGATCTTGTCTGCATCGGTCCTTTTTACAGCTTCCGTGTTTCACTGTAACCAAATTTTCCTGAAATCCATAAAAGCGTTCTCGCATGAGGCTCAAACTTTTTGGCTGTAGCCTGATAGAGTGCAAACATTTACCTTTGCAGAGGGAATTAAATTAAAAACACAATTAAGGTTGAACAAATAAATAGGTGTAAACAAATGAACTTGGATGAGGTGCCTGGTGTGATGTCACTAGAGGCATTATACATGGTAGCTCGTTTTTGAGAGGGTAGATTTTATCACAAGTAAAAATCACATAACTAAACAACAAAAAAACCCGCCACGACACAATCTACAGATGACAAGCTATACCTAAGGCAAGTCTTACTGATTTAACAAAAAGCCCGGTTAGCAGCTTTAAAACTGAACAGATTCTAAAAATTAATTCATGATGATTGTATATTTATAGAGAAATGTCTCACAAACCGTGTTATCTAACACATTTTTCGGATGCCAGTTTCAGTTCTCCTCTGCTCTGAAGTTTACGCTTTATGCTTGTATTTAGTTGTCATTTCCTGACAGTCGGCCAAGGGAATAGTCAATTCAAATTCAAACTAAAAGCCAAATTGGATCGTGAAATACCAGTTTTAAATTATTTGTTCAAAAACCCCATATCAGATACGTCTCAGTGTTATTCAGCTCGTTGGAACTCCTGGAATAAAGGAGGATTTAGGGACAATTAAGGTGAAGGCCATCTTGCCTCTCTTATTTCAAGAACTATAAGCAGCAGCGATTTCATTAAGAAATAACCTTCAGTTTTTCACATAAAACACAAAAGCACGTTCTCTCTTTGCTCGTCAGAGTGAAGACGGGTATTCAGCCCAAACCCACAGGTGATGAACACAGTTCTCAGAAGGATCTCGTTTGGGTCACCAGAAGGCGAAGTCCTCGTGTGTTGGAAGTGTTTGTCAGCCGTGTTTTCACCAAGCATCTGAATCGCCCCCAGGCAGAGGTAGAGGCAGGAACAAGTCCTCACACGCCTGTGATAATTTGATTACAGTCGTCATTCTGGATACGTAACAAAGCGGCAACACGAGGGACGAGAGGAATCCAGGACCCAGACGCTCTCCCTCATTAGCAGGAACAAGGAGACCTGGTGAAATAAATCCCATGACATGTCGTTGTGTTTAAGAGCACAGATGGAGGAAAGGATAAACAATTGACTGAATAATGCTGGTTCTCAGTGTGTCACAGAACAAGGGCTCGGTGCAGAAATCAATGCGGAGTTCAGACTCTTTGTCGAAGCGCTTCATGACACTTTGTTGGTCCCGTAGGAGCCCTCAGCGTCTCTGGGCATGGCTCCATTGAGCTCCAACAGACTGTCGACTCCCATATAGCCCAGCAGGATCTCACTTCTGCGGTGGGAAAGTTTCAGGATGTCTTCGGCCAAGCACTGCTCGGAGGTGAAGCGGACCTTGTCGTGGTCGAACATATCTTTGAGGTACTGCACTATTTGTTGCTGCGGGTAGAAAGGAGAGAAGAAGACAGAGGTTTTATATCATAATAAGAAACTTATGCATTAGATTCCTGTAGCTCCTGGTGAGCTGCTGCGAGAAGACAACTCAGTTACTTCAAAGAAATCGACCTGCACTTTTGTGAGGCAATTCGTCTGATGAAGCCCCAAGTTTACATGATTTAATGACATCTAGTGGCAGAAAGGCAAACTGCAACCATCTGAATTACCTTGAGATTTTTGAGGCATCTCGAGATTTAGAAACGGTTAATATCTCAACTGCAGTACATAACTCTCATCCAGAACTGGGTGAACTCTAAATGGAGGTGATAGTTATATGATTTTCTCTGGTCTATTACAAGTGTGAATCAGTAATAAGTGCCTTGATTTCTTGCTTGGGTGGTTTCTAGTGAGCCTAGAGTCATTGCAAAAAGAAAATACACACACTCCTAAAAAATATGGTCTGGTCTTAGTAGGTTTTAAATATTATTGAAATTTCCTCAAGACCTGAAAAAACACAACAAATTCAACACTGATATTATTTATAGATATAAAGTCGTAGTAGAAGGTTTGTCGAAAACTAATGCACCACAAAAAGAAACATAGATAAAAAACTGTCTGCATACAGATTTCATATTGGAATACATTGAGGGCTTTTTTTTATTACAGATTGGTCTTGGACAGATATGACAGTGAAACATTAATACCTCAAGCTTCAATGTCCAAGATGTTATTCCGTTTCTGAATTTAAGACACCAAGAAAGTCCTCTACTGCAGTTTAGATATGAACTTTTTTAAACTTTTAAAATACTCAAAACCTTTAATAATCTTGAACTATCCCTTTAAGTGTGAAGGATTGACATTGAAAAGCTGTTGTCTTTAAATAAAGGCAAGTTTATGTCATCATAAATCATACATTTTAAATGTAAAAAGTTTCAAACAAAGTGACCAGTGTTTCATTTTGAAATTTTTTTTGTCTTGTTTGTGTATGCTCTGCTCTCACCTTGAAAATTGTGCAAACCTCACTCAGGTGCTGCCTTGGCCCCAAAAACCCAAAAGCTAAAACTGGGCTCACGTGCTCTGATATGGCATAAAAGTGGGCGATAAATCCGTCGGGAACCTACGGAGCGCAGTTAGGACAAGCATTTAGAAATCTACTTCATCAATAAAAAGAGAGCAGCGAAAAGATTTGGATCAGTCAAGACAGGCTCAGGCTCACCATAAGAAGACGCCTTTTAGCTTTCAACACCGACCAGCAGGCGGTCGCCAGAGCCTGGGAGGAAGAAGAAAACGTCCCTTAAGAGAAATTGCCAGGAAATGGTAAATGTGCTTCTGGATGTAAGCGTGGAAATTAACCGTTTCTTTAAAGCTGTCAGACAGCCAGCGGTTCCTCAGAACGGCTAACACAGAGGAGGGCGGGCTCTCCAGGTCCTCGAACGCATCCATCAGGATAAAGTCCAAAACAATGTCAAAAAAGTTCATACACACCACCTGCGGCGACCAAAGAACCCGACGGTATTTAGCTGTTTCAAGTAGGACGTTTTAAATGATCGGAGTGACTTGAGCACTCACCCCTCGACCCTCCAGCTCCATTTTTGTAATGGCCCACGTTTCCTCTCTCTGGGTGTAAAGCAGCATGTCTTCGTAGCTCTCCAGGAAGGCTTTGGGACTCTGGGTCACAATATAGATGTATAAGATATTTAGATCTCTTTAAAAAAAATAGAAACAAAGCAGGTTAATTTATGCAAACCGAAGTTAATTGAATCACTTGTACCTTGTTAGCCTTAACCATTAGCCCTGCAACCATCTGTTTCCCTGTCTCCATAAAAAACGTGCGATGAGTTTCATCCAACAACAGGACCTGAACAAAAAAGAGAAACATGACATATTACAGTTAGTAATTTAGTTAGGTGGAGTACATAAATATCATCTAGATTTTCATTGGTGAGCCACTGTAATTGCTGAATTACAATGGCTCACCAAAATATTCAGACCCGATGAAAATGTTCAGTATTTTGTCATGCAGAAATCTGACAAACTTTATTTAGGTTTGTCGGAGGAGAGGGGAACTGGTGTTCAAAGACATAATTTTTGTGGTTGTGATGTGAAAATGTAACCAAAATATGTCAGTTTCTTAAAACAGAAATTAAAGCTTGCAATAAGATTCTGATGAACAGCCCAATGAAGCTGAGATCTAAAATGATTCTAAATGATAAGGTTTAAATTTTAACATTCAGTCACTGACGGCATTTATCCCACCTTGCAATGATGTTTTAAATAAATAATGCACTTCAAATAAACACTTCATATCTCCAGCTGTACAATTTGTTCACACATAAGCAGGTGAAGACTCTTGGTTTTATCTATTTTTAGCAAACAGAACAGTATGTGATCCTTTTGTCCTGGTAGCTTTAGTCAGGACTTGGCTCAAGGAAAGAAACCTGAGGAGGCTCCTGTCGAGTGCAGCAGCAGACAAGCAGAATGTTAAACAAAATGAATAATAAAATAATAATAACCCCTGTGCGCAGGAACACACCTGGAATGCTTGTCTCACACAGTGAAGCTTGGAGAGGAAATCTTGGTCACTGTAGCATTCAAGTAATTCAGTCCTGGAAAAAAAGACAGAGGAAGAGTGAACTTCAGACTGTTTGGAGGAAAGCAAGTTATATTTGAGGCAGTAGGAGGGTGACAAAAAAATGAAATATTCAAACCCTCAGCTTATGAAGGAAAGTCTGGAGCTCTCTCAGTAGGAAGATTAAGGTAATTTCATTTTACGGTGCATGTAACTGCATAGGACTAATTTGACATGATTTATTACCTAAACAGGGACCAAAAATGGTCAAACTTGTGCAAAAATAAATAATCTACATAGTTACCTCAAGGTTCTATACTTCACTCTGCCTTCCTGCACCAGAGACAAGGCTTCTTCATACAGAGCTGCTAGCTTCATTGGTGGGTAGATCTCATCCAGAGTTATATTTTCAAACAGCTGCACAGAAAAATTTGTTTAAAGAAATTATTTTTTTGTTAATTACAAGGAGGGAGAACATGATGGCATTTCTTGCCATGTTATCTGGGATACACAGCACTACATGTATGTAAATAGAGCGTAAAACAAAACATTTCTTTGTCAATTCTTTTTCCAATGACTCTTTATTTATTTGTATAAAAAACAGCAGGCATGAGTGCAAGTTTGCGTTTCGAGTGCTTAAAAATGCACCTGCTGACACACAGACAAGACGACTTTCACTTGTTGTTGTTGAGGAGAGCAGCTCACCTCTGCAGCGGAGAAAAACGAGTCATCAGACGAAACTGAAGCCGCATCCTCATCTTGCAGCCGGTGGAAACTCTCTACGCGAGGCAAGATCAGAGTTCCTTCGCTCTCTGAAGACAGACAAGGAAAAAATTAAATAAAACACAACAATATGGGTAATGAAGAATTAAAACCGCAGTTAACTTTTCAGGTCCTGATTTCATTGATGATGTCAAACGCAGATATTTATTTATTTATTTTTTGGTTCATCTTGAAGCTGGTCGTTACCAAAGTCGGCCAGTACGCTCTCCGCTGGGATGCTGCCGCCAAAATCCTCTTGCAGGTGGTACGCCCTGTGTAGGAGAGTCTCCAGCTTCTCGGCAAACAGTTTATTACGATCTTCGTTCTACAAGCAAGATGAAAATTGGAAATTAAGATTTTTTTTTTTATAGTATCATTTATAATCTAGAGTTCTAGATGAGCTCAGTTTTATATAATTCGCGTTCCACACCAAATCTGGCAATGTTTCATTGAGGAAGGGAAAATATAAAACAAAACAATCCAGAAATATAACTAATTTAAAAGAGCCACAAGAGTTTAAAACGTGGTTTTCTAGTGGCGATGGTTACCGTGAGAAAGTCTCTGCACGCCGCCCCCTGCAGAGCAAGGCTGTTGTTACTGGAGGTCGAGTTGCCTTGGTGACGAATGTTTAAGGCTTGTTCCCACTTTCGCAGTGCTTCATCAAACAGCTCCATTCCTACAGAGTGAGAACGAAAAAAATCTAACAAATCCCTTTAAGTATTACCTGCTTCACTGATGCAATACACACATCTCAAGGACAAAACCCGGCACTGCCATGTACTTTCTTATCCCTGACGGATCAAATGGGAAGCCCTTCCAGTGGTAAACTGGGGTTTACCACATGTAATTAATTGGTTAATTACATGAACTAATTAATTACATGTGCATTACTAATGTCACTGTAACTCAGAGTCTCTGTCAAGTGAACAGAGTTTGACCTTAAGTTTTCAACAAACTGCAGTGGACTGGAGAGGAAATTAGTCACATCATGCCGAAAAAAAAAAAAAAAAAGTTGCCCTGTATTAACATTATGATTTGAACGTGTTGGTTTACAAGAGCGGAAAGCCAACATGGTTCTCTCCGGTGAGTCTTTGAAACGTGAGAGCTGAGGCGGTAATCAAAAGATGTAGGTGGAATTTTACTGCAGATAAAAAGTGCCTGGATCCTTCTGGGTTATCGTTCTGTGGCCATTTGTTGGATTTTTACTTTTCATTTGAATGTCAGCAAAAATAATTATTGATTAAAATCGCGCTGCTATATTTTTTTATACCCTTCATCCTTTTAGTCTGCTTTGACTTTTAAGGTTGTTTTCCTGCGTGTGTTCTGAAACTTTACAATTCCTGTCCACAATTTTACCAATTCCCCCTCGTAAACATATGCTTATTTCACTTGGAATGCATCTTCCAAACACGTTTGATTCTTTCTCCAGAATATCCCAAGTTTCTGAAGACGGTTTTGCAGGAAAGGGCAATGATATTTTACCAGTTTGACTTCTTATCGTTTTTGTTTTGTCTCGAGTCAAACGCAAAACTAACAATCTCAACACAGAACATCATGTATCTAGTCCCTGAAAAAGTTTTTCTTTGCTCAAACTAAGCAACATTTAGGTGCTGAGACAGCACTTTTTTTTCTGTGCTGCAAAGATAAAAATGGCGACATCCAAGCACTGGTCCTTGTTTAGAGGTAAACATAAAAAAATCTAAATTGAAACATCAGCACAACATCAGCTCTTTATGCTCCTGCAGAGTGGCAGAAAGGGGGTTATGTTTCTGTCACTGGAAACTCAAGCTTATTGCAGCAAGCTCCAACATGGCAGAAAAAAATGACTGAGAAATAAGATGCAAACAGCAAAAAAATAAATAAAAATAAAAATCAACCTCAATCTAGTCAATGCATCAACAAATTCCTTGAACCTTCTAGATGGTTTCAAAATCATCTCAACAGATAATTTTGTTTATATATTAGAAATATAACTTATGACTCAAATCTATCAAAAAACAAAGCAGAGAGTGACTTTCAAGGTTCATGAATATCACATGACAACGCACCCATCAAATACAGGTTCTCTGCGTTAGCATCCTCCACCACTCCCGATTCTTCCACCACAGGCTCCGCCTCCCAGGGAGTGGAAGGGTTAATCGGCTGGTTGGGAGAGTTTGGGACTCTAGTCTGTGCCAGAACAAACCACACAGAGACATAGACATCAAACACACAGGTGAAAACAGGAAAAAACAACAACAAAAGACATGCAAACAATGGAAAAACCATGACGTATGAAACTAACAGATGCCAAGCTGTGTGAGGAACTCGAGTGTTTACTGGGAGCCAGCGAGGAAATCCCACTCATGGTGTCATTGCTCCGAGAGCTGGGGCTCATCACCTGGCGGCTGGTAATGGGGCCTGTCACAAACAGGATGCGAGAGATGCTGAAAGGAACAGCTGAAAGTCACACTTACAAAACTCCCACTATTGGTTTTTGTTGCAAACCTCTCTTCAGAGATGAGGGTCTTCCTGTCTTCAGCAGAGCCTCGGGTATTCCCACGGTCTTCGAGCCCTCCTTCACTTGGTCTGCCTGTTTCCTTTTCCTGCCTCTCCTTTTCAGCTGGTGAGCGGTCAGGGCCAGCGCTACGCTTCCGAGTGCCGTCGCAAACAGCACCTTCTTCAGGCTCGGGGAAAGCCTTAGCTGAGAAAATATGGACTGAAAGCAGGAAGGATGGAGAGAAACATCAGACTCCAGGAATTGTATTCATTGTCACGATTAAAAAGGAAAAGATCGAAAAAAAAAAATCTTCAGCACTTTTATTTCGACAGCCATGAATAGAATTAAAAAACCCAACTAGTCGCCTTAGGAAATCATCTAATCAGTGAAGACAGTCCAACTGTATGTACGTAATCTCAGCTGTTTGGTGAAGGCCTCAGGCGTTCGCTGCATGACATTACTGAACAAGCAGGCATCTTTTAAAGCTAATGCAAAAATGTGACAAAAAAAAATCCACGTCGTTTTGTGAATAAGTGTAGCCATTATCATAAAAGGTGTTACCTGTCCAAATGTGGAGTAGAGAAAGACCGGTATCTCTGCCACAGTCATGGCCAAAGCCTGGGCGACAGACATCCCGTCTGGCTGTCTCAGTGACATTTCAAGAGTCCCTCACATCCACCAAATGTACGGTTTTCTTTCCGCTCTCAGGCCAGCGCAACACTCAGCTCGCTGATCACACTTCCCGCTGTCATCCACCCCTGGATCCGAACCTGACAACAGACACTACAACACGTGAGACACAACTTGTGTTCAAATGGGCATTGCTGCAGTGGTTTGATACTTTCATAGATTGTAAAATACAGATAATAAAATCTAGCGAGCGTTGAGAGATGCCACCTAACTCATTCCAAAAAAAAAAAAAAAAAAGAAAAAAGTTGCACTTGATCCGACATTTATACGCGTAACGCCACGTGAGCTGAATGACATGCAAATGAGGGAATTGAGCCATTTGATGCAGGAGTTTTGGAAAACGGATGCATCAAAAAGTTCCAAGACAGCAGCTCTTGAGGAATGGACTTGGACACTGCTGCTGGTATTGATCAACATGGCAAAAGCATTAGGGAACCAATTGATTTCCTATTTGGTCAAGAACGACACTTTAAAGCCACAGTAATTATTCTGAGTGATGTTTGGTTTAGGAACAGAGGATAAAAGACAATGCTTATACGTGTTTTGCAGAGGATGCCAACCAGCAAAACCCACTTATGATGTAGAGACCCAGACTTATCTGTGACTTTTAGCAATATCTGTCGGTTTAACACTACACATTGTGGATCCATCTATTTGTAGGAGGAGGATTTGTTTTTTATTAGGACCTTCACATATTGATTCATTCTGATGCATGTAAAATGCCTCAATCTATTGCTAAATAATATTAAATACAGGGTACAAATGCATACAGTTATAACTATATTTGTTTTAAGGTTTTTGCTTCATGGCAAACAACAAATGAGTTGATTCAATCTCAGGAAATCAAGCTTGGATTTCCTGAGATCTCGGGAAATCTGACACGAAACTTGACACGAAACCAGCTTCTTTATCAGCTAACAACACTTACAGTGCAGATGGCGCGCCAGCCTGCACTTATTAATGTGGAGCTACTTCCAATGTCGCCGTCTTCTGATAAAAGCTGCCGTTTTTAACCAAATAGCGAAAAGTGTGTACAAATCACAGAACGGTTCCGTATTCGGTGCTTGTAAATAAGATTTAAACCAAATTCAAAACACATAGATCACAAACCGATACTGTAAATATCACCATGACTTTCTACATGAAATACACAACAAGACTAAGCTCTGGGTTAAAAAAAATCTTCTGTTAAACCCAGGGTAAAATCAGCCGGGGACAGCTCTGAAATGTCCAGCATGCTAACATTAGCTAGCTCATTTAGCTGGCCTAGACCATCGGTCAGTTCCCCTCACAGCATCAGAGAATGACTCGGTCTAAGGAGCTCTGAACTGACACTTCACAGGTGTCAGCAGCAACCAAAGTACAGCAACACTGACCAACAACTAATAACATAATCCCTCTCCGACACCAACATACCGTGAGCATCCAAGACGTCAGAGAAGGGCATCCCGAAGTCACCGTCAGTGAAGGCAGCACAGCATTGTTTTAGGGCGGGACTTTGAAAATACACGGATGTTGACACGCTCTTCAGCCAATCGGAGGAGGATAATTGTGGGCGCACCTTTTCTAAGCGAATAGTATAAAGGAAGGGAGGGACACAGACCACTGGAATCCAATCAACTTGCAGGTGTTATGTTGCGCCTGGAAGTTTATGATTCTTCCATCACAATGCGAACAATGCAGAAAATTATCACAGTTTGAATTTTCTTTAACTCTTCCGTACGCAACAACATTTTTAAACTTCATTGTCCTGACATTTAACATAAATATCTATTTATTAATAATGTTTCCGTGTGATCTTTTTTAAACCCATACTTAAACACAAGACATATGAAATGAAGTCAGTTGAATAATGAGAAGTCAAAAATGTTTGTAAAGGTTATTAAAATATATAAGATGCAAAATATAAATTGTATGAATAAAAACACACGTAACTTTTTTTTATATAAACAATATGCACAGTTTAACAACACCGTTAAGTGACAGAGTAACTTAGATTTTATGTATTCTGAATATTGACGTTTAAATTAAAGATGAAAGACGTTCCTCCCACCAGACTAGCGACTGTTTCAGACTAGAATTTGAAAACCATTGGCAGTGATTTATTCTATAAATTAAAAATTTACACGCGGTCCTTAAAGGTAGCAGAAAGCCACTGCCTGTTAGTGTACGGTAAATAAGCGCGGTTGTAACATTTGCTTCCGATTTTGTCAATCATATTTCAGAATAAAAGCATGTTTACTTCCAGAAACCGTAGCAGACGTCATTGGAATTAGAGTGTATGAATATGTGCGCTATTCTACATGGATATTAAAACTGTCACTAAATATACAAATGAAAATAAATGCAGAATATCTCTTCGAAATCGATTTGAAATTTTTAATATGAAAATAAATTCCGGTTTGCGTTGTTTTCATCTGAAATCATAGAGCCCTTACAAAAGAAGTTGGGCAGATCTTTATCAGGCCTACACAAGAAGAGAAACTATAGTAGAGTTATATAAGAATAACGAGTCTGTTAGCTTCCGGAGGATAAAATCAAAAGTTATGACTACTGGAAAATGAACCTAAATTCCACCTGCACGGGCTATGGGAAACTTCCTGATGCAAAATTCCTCATCACCATGATTCGGAGATGTATTTCTCACCCCTTGGACTTACACAAAGTCTGAGCTTTCTGGGTGGAGAATGCGGAATAATTACTCTACTGTTGCGACATGTGCACAGAAGGATGTCGGACTAGGGGAGCAGCTTTCAGATATAAGCTGCTGCTCTTCAATATGCGGCCGAGGTATATGCTTCGTCTGTGTTTCTCCATGCTCACCCTGACCTTGCTGTTCTGGCTTAGAGTGCTGATCGCACAGGACAGACTTTCACCTGCTGCACAAAACTCATCACTCAGGGGCTACAGCAGGATTAGCCCGCACAGAAAGACCAAGGTGAGGCGGGTGATGATCCAGGACAAGAAGGCCCACATAAAGCTCTCATTCATTAGCTTCTTGGGACAAGTTAAATTGATATAATCAGCTAAGTAATCCCATTTTGTTTACTTTCTATATATGCTGAAACATCTGTGAAAAAAAAATATTTTGACGATATGTTAGTAATTGCATTTTGTTTCATTTTTTAAAGATTAACTTTTTAATTTGTATACTACAGTCACTAGTCTTAAAAGTTGAAGTGGTTTTTTAAAAAATGCACATGAAAAATGATTTGATGTACTGCTGAGTGCAAAACCCTCACCATTTCTCCACAGCTTTATAACACATTATTAACCCTTTATTCAAAGCTTGAGAAAGTTGGATGTTGGGACCGCACTGGGAGTCGCAAATCAATAATTGTGCAGTTGAGATATACTCTAAAAATCAAAATAAATAACCAAAAAATATAATGGTAAGAACACATTTATGCTATAATTGTTGGAAGAGATGCAAAACAAAGACTTTTCAAAAATAGATAAAACTATAATTGATCAGCTCTTTATGTTGTGTTGCTTTTCAGGTTATGCTTGCAAAGCAGTTGTCAGGGATCAAAAGTTTAATCCACTGTAATGCTGATGATGGTCAAAAGCTTGACACTTCTTAAGTTATACTGCTTGTGAACAATACATTAGTATTAATGCAAATTTGGTCAGTTAACACAGTCATTTCTTACTCTTTTAGACACTCTGGATAAGTTATAGTTTAATCCCAAACATAATTCACTACACTATTTCTGTTTGCTACTTGCAGACATATTGTAAGAGATAATTTGTGTAGCTTTCTCCAAATTCACTACTTTACCTATATATTTCTTACTTCCTGTTTCTCTGATTAAGACTTTATTTATTTATTTGTCACTGAGGCTAGCATTCCAATGTCATTATGTTCTAGAAACGTAATGACAAATAAATGCCATATGTAGATTTGATAAACTAATTCTGGCTGAGGTGTAGCGATGTCTGTGAGTCTAAATCTGTCTTATCTTCTCTCTGCAGTTTCTGGATGTTCACTGCAGCCACTGTGCTGTGGTCTCCAGCTCCGGTCAGATGCTTGGCGCCGGTGCTGGAGATGAAATTGACCGAACAGGATGCGTGATCCGCATGAACAATGCCCCCACCAGAGGGTACGAGAAAGACGTCGGGAAACGCACCACCATGCGGGTTGTGTCTCACACCAGTGTTCCTCTGCTGGTAGAAAACGAGCAGTATTATTTCAAGCAGTCCGCGAATACGACGTATGTGTTTTGGGGCCCCAAAAGGAACATGAGGCAAGACGGAGAAGGAATTATTTTCAATGTCCTGCTGAAGCTGGCTGTTAAGTACCGGAAATCGAACTTGTATGTCGTGACCCAAAGCAAGATTAAGTACTGCGACAGTGTGTTTCAGAATGAAACTGGAAAAAACAGGTGGGTTTAGTTTCTCAGCTGAGTAAGCAAGAAATGTTAAAATTATGAAAATGCAAAAAAATGTTAAGGCTTATAAACCCCATATATCACAGTTCCTAAAACACTTTTTCATAGATTTAGGTAGCAAAAAAAGGGGTTTTAATAAACTGAAATTTCTAAGTACAGCACACTAACCAACAACCACTAGAGACTATGACAAAGGTTCAGATATCTAACACATACCTGTTTATGTGACGAGAAGTTTCTCATCTCATTCACCCAATAACTAGTCCTAGTTATGAGTTACTTCTATGCCTAACATTACTGTTCAGCTTCCAATAAATGATTATTCATTTTTCTTCTTTTGAAAAACATCTGCTCCAGGTGAGGCTTGAACTCACAACCTTGGCATCACTTTGCAGTTTACTGTCTTATAAGTACCACGCACTGACCGATTGTGCCACTGGAGCTGGTGAAAGTAATGGAAAGAATAAACAGATTTAAGTGACAAGGCATTCTTCATCCCATTCATCAGGTTTTGTCATCAGGACTTCACAACTATTTCCATTTTGGACACAGCTCAGCCATGTGCCAAAGAGCCAATATGATAAAGTAACTGTTTTTTGACAAAAAAAAAAAAAAATCTTTCCGATTCTCCTAAATAAATGGGATTTCAGGGTTTCAGTCTTTGGTTATTTCCACGGATCGTTAATAATTTTTGTTCTGAAAAAACATCTGCTCCAGGTGAGGCTTGAACTCACAGCCTCGGCATCACTTCGCAGGTGACTGTCTTATAAGTACCGCGCGCTGACCGATTGCGCCACTGGAGCCTGTGAAAATTGTTCCAATATCTAATAGATATCTGTTTATCTGACAAAACATTCCTAGTCCCATCGCCAGGATTTTTCAGCAGGGCTTCACGACTATTGCCATTATGGATGTAGGTTAACCCTGTGCCAAAAGCCAATTTGACCTATTTGACCAGTAATTTCAATGGACAACTCTTAAATTAAACAAAGACAATGGATGGACAGATAATTTAATATAATATAATTTGCTATACTTCAGGATGAACTCTAAAGTTTTTTGTAAACGCTAGTGATGCCAACACTCCTTACAAGCCTATGTTATCAATAAATGGAGTCCACTAACACTAGCTAACAATGTGATCACTGAAGCAGCACAGCACCCTCTATGTTAGAGCAATTTGCAATGAGTGTGCATGAATTTCAGCAAACTTGACCTAATGACAATTTACTTATTTGCTTCATATAATGGTTAATTATTTTTGTTTTGAAAAACATCTGCTCCAGGTGAGGCTTGAACTCACAACCTTGGCATCACTTTGCAGGTGACTGTCTTATAGGTACCGTGTGCTGACTGATTGTGCCACTGGAGCCTGAAAACATGGCCTCTTTGACCAGTCATGGACAAATCTAGAAAAACAGAATTGATGAGATCTATAATTTTCTTTAGGTTGAACTCAAACAATTTATTTCTATGCTCAACATTGGATCAATTATTAGTAAATCTTCTACTTTTGAGAAAGATATCTGCTCCAGGTGAGGCTTGAACTCACAACCTCGGCATCACTTCACAGGTGACTGTCTTATAAGTACCGCGCGCTGACCGATTGCGCCACTGGAGCCTGGAAAAGCTGCTGAGCTATCTAAAAGATATCTGTTTATGTGACAGGGCCTTCCTTATCCCATTCATCTTTTTTTTTTTCATCAGGACTTCACAACTACTGCCATTAGGGACACAGCTCAGCAATGTGCCAAAGAGCCAACAATTTGCTGACAGGAACTCACTCGCAAGCTCCTAAAGGGTTTCCTAGTCGTCTTGCTCTGGAAGGCACACCAGTAAATTAGGTTTTCCTTCATTTAGAAGTCTAAATCACTGTTCTATGAGACCAGTCTGCAATAGAAGACTGTCATTTGTCAGATTCCTGCATCTCTTTGTGATGATAATGTGTGACTTAGTTCTGTGCTCAACATTCAATTTCAGAGCTTGATGAATGATTAAATAATTTTTGTTTAGAAAAAAAAAACTGCTCCAGGTGAGGTTTGAACTCACAACCTCAGCATCACTTTGCATGTTACTGTCTTATAAGTACTGTGCGCTGGCCGATTGCGCCACTGGAGCCTTTTTAGATGACTCAGATATCTAAAATTTGCCTCTTTCACCAGCTGATTCTATGGAAAAATGTAGAATTTTCTTTACTTCAGGTTGAACTCAGATTTTTTGTTTTTTCAACTCCAGGGATCCCATCACTTTTTAAAAACCTTTGTTATAAATAAGCTGCTTCTGTGAGCACTTGAGCTAACAATGTGACCACTGATTATAACTACAAAGCAGCATACCAAGCTGTGAATAAATTAATAACAATTTTTTAATATCTGCTCCAGATGAGGTTTGAACTCAACCTCAGCATCGCTTTGCTGTTTACTGTCTTATAAGTACCATGCGCTGACCAATTGCGCCACTGGAGCCAGTGAAAATAGTTTAGGTAACTGGAAGGTACACCAATAAATTAGGCTTTCCGTCATTTAAATGTGCAAATCTGACCTCTTCTGTGAGACCAGTCTGCAATAGAAAACCACCATTTGTCAGATTCCTAGAAAGCCTATAGTTCCAAAGATATTGGGGGATATCTTGCCATCTGGTGTTAACTCTACTTAGGATATACATGTTTCTTCTCCTTTTCAAAACATCTGCTCCAGGTGAGGTTTGAACTCACAACCTCAGCATTGCTTTGCAGGTTACTGTCTTATAAGTACTGTGCGCTGACCGATTGCGCCACTGGAGCCTGTGAGCATGGTTCAGATGTGACCAGCTATTGCCATGGGGAAATCAAGACTAAAAAAAAATTGATTATGAGATTTAGAATTTTCTTTACTTCCGGGATGCCAGCACTCTTTAGAGTCCTTTGTTAAATTGACTGAGTAGTGCTTTTTCCAATCACTTTGACCACTCAAAGCACTTTACACTAGAGTCACATTCACACTCAGATCGGTAGGTAGTTTGTGGTTAAGTGCCTTGGCCAAGGGCACATCAATACATAGCAGAAGAAAGCTGGAATTGAACCTTCAACCTTCCTGATCACAAGACAACTACTCTACCCACAGAGCCACTGTCTCCCATCTTATTAATAAGTTGCTTCTGTGAGCACTTGGGGTAACAATGTGATCACTGATTACAATTGCAAAATAGCACACTTATCTCTACAATGCCAGAAAAGTCTGCATCACTTTATGATGATAATCTGCATGTGTGAATTTCAGCTAACTAAACCTAATGACATGTTACTTCTATGCTCCCTTTCAGATTTTGATGAATGATTCATAATTTTTCTTTATCCTTTTGAAAAGCATCTGCTCCAGGTGAGGCTTGAACTCACAACCTTGGCATCACTTAGCAGGTTACTGTCGTATAAGTACCGCGCGCTGACCGATTGCGCCACTGGAGCCTGTGAAAACACTTTAGGTATCTAAAATATATCCGTTTATGTGACAAGGCATTCCTCATCCCATTCACCAGTTTTTGTGTTACTTCCTAACTATTGCCATTAGAGATAGAGCTCAGCAATAAGCCAATAACAGAAAAGACCTAGAGGGTTTCTTTGTCATCTTGCTCTGGAAGGGAAACCAGTACATTAGGTTTTCCTTCATTTAGATCTGTGAATCACTCTTGGTCTGACCTCTTTTGTGAGACCAGTCTGATTGTCAGATTCCTAGAAAGCCTATCATTCTAAGGATATTAGGGATACCTTATCATCTGGTGTTAACTCTACATGTTTTTTCTCCTTTTCAAAAACAACTGCTCCAGGCGAGGTTTAAATTCACAACCTCGGCATTGCTTTGTAGGCCACTTTCTAACAAGTACCACATGCCAACCTATTGTCCCACTGGACGCTTTGAAAAAGATTTGAATATCTAGTACATATTTCTTTATATGTGATGAGGACATCCCATTCGATGTGTTCTTCCATTCAGGCTTCCCCACTGTTGCCATTATGGACACAGCTCAGCCAAGAATTCCCCAAACAAAGTTCACTGGAAACTCCAGTGACCACACAAATGTCTAGCTGACATTGCTATTACAATTTAAATACTATTACAAAGCAGCAATAATAGAATATTTCATTTAGGGGCTATCTTTTTGTAACCACCCACAGGTTATTCAGGAGAAAGTTTAGGACAATTTTAATTCAGCTAAAGTTAAAAACAGCTTAGCATCAATGTTACTAATACCGTATTCAGTCAGTATGCAAACTCTCAATGGCTTTCTTGGCTTTATTTCTTTTCTTTAGAATGAAAACTGGAGCGTTTCTCAGCACTGGATTTTTTACGATGATTCTTGCTATGGAAATGTGTGACAGGATCACTGTCTATGGAATGATTGATGACAAGTACTGCAGGTAAAGTACTGCAGGTGATATTTGTAGGTAGGCTCTATAATTTTCATGTTCAGCATCCTCCGATAATGATTGGCCTGTTTAAGATGCATACAAAAGCCTTAAAAATGGTTGTTATGGAAACTAAGCTAACCCACTTTTCATTATGCTATCCCTACCCTTAGCCCTGTCCTGTGTTACCTGTGTTAAGTTGCAGATATTAAACTCTCTTCTGAGCAATGGGAACCAACAGGGAAGCTGGTTATTATACATTTTCTTAAATTCAAATAATGCTACATGACTAAATATGCCTGTCATGTTCTATTGATGGCATTATTTTCTGTGCTTAAAATGGAATAAAAATACTAAATGTAACAAATAGAAAAATAAAATTTAAACATTTTGTACTTTTAGAGTATTTCTAATATATTGGAAAGATACAAAAGATATGCTATTCTATGCAGTCGTTTAAAATAGCAAGCATAATATTGAATAGTTATTTTTTTAGTTGTTTTTTTAAACACCAATATGCATTAAAATAGGCATTACAGTGACTGTTCTTGTATTTTAAGTGAGTAACACTATCTTTTTCTTCCATGTCATATGATTCAGAACATTATGTTTTCCTGGGATACAAACAAGATATTTCTATCTGAGAAAAACATAATAATATGCATTCCTAATTAAAATAACCGTGTTGAAGTATGATAAAAGTAATGTTGAGGTGGAACCATTGATTTTCTTAATTGATGTCCTTCTTTCCACTACAAAAATGTGTTCAAATTAAAGGTTGGATTTTTACATTTTTCAGCTCTGTATCATGTCTCTACAGTAAACTCCGACCTGAATGTTGAGTTTTTCTCGTCCTCACAGCCGAGCCAATCACAGCGATGTTCCTTACCATTACTACGAGCAAAAGAGGCTCAGTGAGTGCAGGATGTATAAATACCACGAGTCCACACAGCGTGGGGGACACCGCTTCATCACTGAGAAGGCCATCTATGCCAAATGGGCAACACAGCACAATATACAGTTCAAACATCCTACATGGAAACTGTGAGGAATGGTGCCCTATACAAATATCTCAGATGTTGAAGTTACTAGACTTTTATTTTGTTCTTGTTTTGACATTTTTTTTGTGTGTATATGTGAGGAAAAGCGCTTAGCTGGGCAAAATGTAGTCACGTTTACCTATATATTTGTACAGATGACAGTGATTAATAAAACACAGTTGGCTGCTAATAATTCATTATTTCTCTTCACATGCCTTAATTTTAACACTTACTCTACCTATTTTTGTACCTTGAGATGTCAAATTGTTCGAAAGCTACAATAGAGTTTGCACTTTTACGAACAGGATCTGCAATTGTAATCATTTCTTTTCAATGTTAGGTGCGGTCGATTAATTCAGTTTAATTATTCAAGACATCAAACATTGTGATTACGGAATTCCAGGTTTACGGGTTTCATTTTGCTCATCTACTGTTCTATGCACTTGGTCACTATTTTCTTCACATACAGTTTCTTGCAAAAGTTTCCATATCAATTAAACTATTTCATAAATTGTCAAATTACAACAAAAAACTCCAAAGCTTGTTCTTGGGATTTTATGTGGTCGACCAACACAAAGTACTTGTGTTACGCCCCCAAGGTCTAGGGGTCCAGGGGCGGTAACATAAAAATGTGCCTCATCAATGTCTGATTGGCTTGACAATCCTCTGCTGGTCCAATGGTGTAGCTGCTTTCCTACAGCCTTCAGGCAGTCAATCAAGGAGATGTGCTCTCACAGCTGATCCTGC